TTTTTTTAGGTAGCTGTAATGCTTTTGTGCTTTGAGGCAAGAACTCAAACTTTGGCAGCAGTTTTAATTGTGTAAGGATTTTCCTTTTTGTAGGCCTTGAAAGGGATGGTAACAAGACTGTGTAAATAGGAATAAACATTAAAGAATCACAGTTTGTGCCTGTTCAGAGTTGCACGTTATTGTAGCGCCAGCAGCAGGGGAGAAGGATTGGATGAATGGTCAAGATTGTCAGAAGATTGGGACAGCTGGGCAAAGAGAGCTGAAGAAATTATCTGGACTGAAATTAGGGATAGGGTCAATGTACAAAATCAGAAGGTTAAGAAAGGATTAATACGAGGTAGGGATGGGGGATGAAACTTATTTTTTGTCTTCTGTGTACTCCTTATATAGGCAGACAAGGTACCTAGGTAGAGTCAAGGGTGAATTAAATAAGGTCAAGAATGGGTCTACAGCCTGAGACTATCGGAACATAGTACCTACCTAATCCAAGGCAGAGTTTTAAGGTTTTCCGTATCTACTCTGCTCTCATGAGACCTGGAGTACTGTGTTGAGCTCTGGGGCCCTCGTCATGAGAAGGACATGGGCCTGCTCGGGTGGGTCCAGAGGAGCACCTCCCGTATGAGGACAGGCTGAGAGAGTTGGCGTTGTGCAGCCTAGAGGAGAGAAGGCTCGGGGGGTACCTTATAACGGCCTTCCAGTACTGAAAGGGGATACAGGAGGGGTGGGGAGGGACTCTTCATCAGGGAGTGGAGTGATAGGATGAGGGGTAACAGTTTGAAGCTGAAAGAGGGGAGATTTAGATTAGATATTAGGAAGAAATTTTTTACCATGAGGGTGGTGAGGCAGTGGCCCAGGTTGCCCAGAGAAGCTGTGGATGCCCCATCCCTGGAGGGGTTCAAGGCCAGGCTGGATGAGGCTTTGAGCAACCTGGGCTGGTGGAGGGTGTCCCTGCCCATGGCAGGAGGGGGGGACTAGGTGATCTTTGAGGTCCTGTCCAACCCAAACCATTCTGTGATTCTTGGCATTATTACAGTGTGGTCCAAAAATACCTGAAACCAATAGGAAGTGTCTGAATTATTTCTAAGGAGGGATATGCTTGATATTATGGAATATTGAACTAAAACATATTGCAGATAGCTTTTTGTATTCAGTATGATCTTGAAGAGCAGATGTTTGAAGAAGAATTCTACTTACGTGGATTTTTATGTTGTTTTAAAGCAATAATAATTACATAAAGGTGAGAGGTAAGACTTGATATAAAGAAACACAAGGTATAATCTAGAATCTGAGAAGCCTATTCACTGCGCTTCTCAATATCCAGGAGAGTATGTTCAGATAAAACCTTTTGGAGTAATCCAGTTAATAAAAAACTTGGGAACTGTTTTTCAGCAGTTCAGCTTTAAAAGCTCTGGCCACTGTGGGTATTCACTGGTACAATGGTGAATAGCAGCACAGCAAGTAAACTGGTGACACTGTCAATATTTTCTGAAAAGTATCATGGAAACATAGTATTTAATACTTCAGTAGCACTTTCTACTTCCCAAGCCATAAATTGAACCATTTTGTTTGGAAACATGTAGCTGATTTTCAGTCATAGCAAACAAAAATGTTCTGGAAATGTTTTCTACAGGTTGTGTAATATTGAGATTGTTGATTTGAGAAGTTACAGTCCTTAGTTACACATTGTGTAACAATCTGTTTAAATTATCTCTCTCCATGTACAGGTTTACTTTGATTACATGCGAAGCTGGATCCAAATGCTACAGCAGTTACCTCAAGCATCGCATAGTTTAAAAAATCTGTTGGAGGAAGAATGGAATTTCACCAAAGAAATAACTCCTTATATAAGAGGAGGTGAAGCTCAAGCTGGAAAACTATTCTGGTAGGTTTTATTTAATTACTCTGCTTGTGGTATTGATTTGTACCAGATACCTGCTCAAGTCAGCACTTGTTCAGGGTTCCCAGATTGGCCTTCTGGAGGCCTCAGGAAGCAGTTGAGAGTCTTTATGAATTTATGGATTATTGCAAGATCTGTAGCCCAGTGCACATGGAGTAACCGAGGGCCGCGAAGATGCTGCTTGTTTCTGCAGGTGGACTTGGCAGCATGGCTCTCTTGTGCTGGGCAGAGGAGGAGGAAGTTTAGGGTGCCATACTACCTGAATAAGACTCTGAAGTTCCACCATTTCTGTTGCTACAGTGATAT